GATTAGCTCCCAATTATTAGAGAGTACATGTGGTGTTTGTGTTTCCATTCCGGGGTACTTTGCTTAAGGTAATGTCTTTTTATTGCTGACAAGGGGAGTAGGCAGTGGGGAGAAAACAACAAGCAAGCAGGAGCAGGAGCAGAGTATCGAATCTGCTGAGTATCATTTCCTCAAACACCTTAACTTCCCGTTAGATTTAACCCCAGTGTTAGATTCCACCCAGCTTTTAAGAAATGTCTCATCAACTACAGCTTTTGATGCAAAAACTGCAGCCCACTGATTAATCCCTTTTTTAAAAAGATTGAGATTTGAGATGCTGAAATAAAAACAGCATTTAATTTTCTTAAAATTAAATTACTTTTTCTGAAACTATTTTATGTGTAGCAGAAATATATCAAAAAGTAAATCAAATGAAGATGTAATTATTATGCTGTGGGCCTACAGACTAGAGGTGAGTACCAGGGAGACAGTCCAGTCTTTAATTTTACCATCTATTTGCTCTACTCTTCAATTCTTCTTTGCCTTTGCCTTTCTTTAAAATCCTCTATAATTATCATTATCTCATAATCCAGCCTTTCAAGATAAATGCCAACAATGTTTTAGCAAACTCCTTTAATTTCCCCCTCAAAGCCATTCTTTTAGTCTGTTCTGCCTTTGTCCTCACAGGATAAAATCTTTCATAAGATAGTCTTTTTCAAGTTTAGGGGTAAAGTACTAGAGAGTGCAGGAGAAAGGCAGTTAATCCTCATGCCCGGGAAGTGATGCATTTATTTTGAAATTCATATTCACTAAAATTAACTCTTTTATGAGTTTTAGTATACGTGTAGATTCATATAACTAGCAAAATTAGTATGCAAAACAGTTTCGTCACCCCAAAGACTTCCTTGTGCTGTCGCTTTGGAGTCAAATCCTCTCCCAACCCCTAAATTTAAGCCAGCAATCTTTTCATCCCCTACAGTTTTATTTTTTCCAGGATGTCCAACAAGTGAGTCCACACAATGTGTAACCTTTTGAGACTGACTTCTTTCACTTTGCATAATACATTTCAGATTTATTGATGCTGTGTCTTTTTAAATATTAAGGGTATACAAATGTTTTTGTTACATGGATACCTTTTATAATGCT